CCCCCGCGCTCGTCCGATGGCTCTTTCTTTTTTGGCGCGTGCCCCTCAGCCCTCCTCGCTACCTGTCCCCGCCGCCTCCCCTTTCAAGGAGAGGGAGAATGTACGCAACGCGGCCGGAAAAAAGAACAGGAGATATTGTGTCGCCCCCCGGGGGGAGAGAGGCGAGGCGGCGAAAGGAAGATGTCGAGGAATAAGGTTGGTGTATTGAGAGGGGAGGAAAGGACAACCACACACACACATACATCCAGGCAGACACCCTGGAGCGGAGGAGAGGGCGCGCGTGCGAGCGCGCGCAGAAGCAGGAAACTGGACACTGTAGGGGCAGCACCAATGCGCCCACGGGAAGAAGACGGAGAGGGACTCCGCGTGAGGCAGCTGCCTCTGCCCCTGCACAACATGCCGGACCGACTCTCGTCGGGGGGAGAGAGGCGCAGAGAGGGAGAGACAGCTTTTGGCCACACGCGTGCACACAAATGCCCAAATGCACACAGCAGGACCCGGGCGCGCACGCACGGACACACACGCACACACACACACACGCATACACAGGACGGCGAGCGCAAAGGCTGCGCCAAGGCCCGCAAACGATTAGCGGTAGCGGTGGAAGACCTTGGCGTTGCGGCGCTTCCAGGAAGCGTAGGTGGAGCCACCAATGGTCTTCTCGGAGCCGAGGCCACGGCTGCTGCGGCCGGCGGCGGTCAGGCCACGGCACTCACGGTGCTTGTGGTTGACACCAGCAATCCAGTTGATGCGGGGGTCGATCTTGATGGCCTTGTGGGAGGGGTCGACCAGGATGACCTCGAAGAACTTGAACATGGCGTCCTGGTTGATCCAGTAGGAGTTGAGGACACGCAGGTTGCCGCAGACCTTGCCGACGCGCTGCTCAGCGATGGCGCGGTGGTTGCGGGAGTTCTTGAGCTGGTTGACACCATGGGTGACGGGCTTACCCATGGTCTGACCCTTGGTCACAGGGCGCTTGCGGCCACCGCGGCGAACGCGAACGCGGTAGATGACGTAACCCTGCTTGGCCTTGTAGCCGAGGCGGCGGGCCTTCTCGGGGCGAGAGGGGCGAGAGGCACGGTGGATGGTGTTGAGCTGGCGGAGCTCCCAGCAGCGGACACGCAGGATGAAGCGCAGCACGTCGGACTGCTTCTTCTTGTAGAGCTCCTCGAGGTACTTGTAGGCACCCATCTTGATTGTATCCTGTGCGGGCGCGGCGCGGCGAAGAGCGGGGGCAGGAGGGGGAGAGAGAGAGAGAGAGAGGCGAAAGGGGGAGCAGAACAGTTAGTGGTCAGCAGAGGGAGGAGGGACGGCAAGCATACGTGCGTATGCCAAGATGCCGATGAAAGGGGTGATGACGGTCATCATGGGAGGGGAGAGAGGGGGCGCCATCGCGATATCCGGCGCATCTCTCGCTCTCTTCATTGGTGGAGGATGTGTCATCCCCACGAGGGAGGGGGGACAGCATGGCACGCGCATTCACAGACGTCGGATGTGACTCGGAAAAGAGGCATCCGACGCACGCGCCCTCCCCCAACCGCATGCGACATGAGACGAAGGAGGAGGAGGGGGACGCGCGAGGCGGCGACAGCGACCATGTGCCATGAGGGAGAACACGACACCGTAGGAGAGGAGGGCGACCGGGCGACGATTCCCTCAATGGGCGGAGGGGGGGGGAGAGGGCAAAGCAAGGGCAGGGGCAGGAGAGGGGAGAGAACAAACCTTAAACCAAAAAGGCGCGGTATAGCCAAAAAGTTCAAAGACAAGAGGCCGTTCCTCTGAGAGGGATGCCCTCGTGGAGGCTCCTCTTCAAGGCACACCAGTCCACAAGGCCGCCCCTGGCCGGGACACGCGCAGCCACACCCGCACCCAAACACACCGACGCATGCACACGGATACGCAGGGGGGGGGGGGGGGGGTGAACTCCCCCCCCCGGCCCCCCAGGGGGCGCCCCCCCCCCCCCCCCCCCCCCCCTGGACAATCGGGTGCGTGTCACCCCCCCTCCCCCATCCAGCCGCCACCCGCCATCCGGAGGGAGGTGGGGCGGGGGGAGGCACGGTCGCACCGGTCGCCCTTTCCCCCGTCGCATGGAAACCGGGCCTCCCCGTGCTTCAGACAGACAGAGGCTGTGCAAGGGCCACGATAGGGACAGCACGCACTTGCACGCTTCCTTCTAAGGCAAGCGGGGCGCAGTGCCCTGGTCACTCGGGGGCTGGGCCATGCGTCCCTCGCCCTCCCCCCCCCGCACAAAGGAGCTGGGGGTTTGGGGGCCGAAGGAGGGACAAGACGGGGAAGGTTCCCGGGGGGGGGGGGGCTGCAAGCCTGTTCCCGCGGAAAATTGGCATCTCCTCCGGTGGAGCTGTGAGAGGCCAACATGCGGCAGAGGCAGCACAGACAGCACCGCCACCGAATAAAAGGAGCGAAAAAAAATCGCGAAACATCCAAGAGAGAGAGAGAGAGACAGAGGGTTTTCTTCTGGGCCCCATGGGTAATGTGGTCGCGGATGCGACGGTGAGGCGCCGGCGAGGGGGGAACTGCCTCTGTTCCACTATTTCCGCCCCCCCCCCCCAGGGTCCTATTATCCCGATGGACAGGGTTCAACAGGTGCCTTAAATGTCATTCACGCATCGGTGTTTTCACCTCGCCCATCGCACAAAAGGAAGATCACACGTGCAATGCGCCTGATCGGACACATGTGCCATGCGCGTCTGGACTCGGGGCCCTGCTTTCAGGGGCCCCACTGAGCCTGGCGTTTTTGTGCCCGCGAAGATCCCCGCCTGCCGGCCCACTTGGCCCTCGCCCCTGTGTCGGCGAGGACAAGCGCTTCCCTTTCCAGTACCGTTCCTTCTGCTTGCCCGAGGGAATCAGGCGGGATTTGTTTTCCTGCCCCGGTGTTCGCCCTCTGCTTTGGGGGGGGGGGGGTGTTCTGCAAATATGCCGCCCTCCCCCCCCCCCCCTTGGGACAGGGGTGCTGGCAATCCCCCGCGCTTCCTGGGCAGGGAATACCCAGGTGGCACACCGGTGGTCCCCTGCCTGCGCCCCGGCAGGAGAGCACGGAAAGCTCAAATCATGGTGGTAGTCCCCGAGACACACGGCCGGCCAGCCAGGGGAAGGGCCCTCGAGCCCGAGAGCGACTTCCCTCTCTCACAGCCCCCCCCCCCCCCCCCCCCCGCCTGCCCAGTGCTGCGGGGGGGGGGGGCAACACGATTGACGAGCACCTCTCCACATTCTGGCACCAGGACCGCCCCAGCCGGGACCCGTGCGATTCCACTCGGCAGCACCCCCCCCTTTCAACCGAGCTCGTCCCCTCGCGCACGCCTGGGACTTATGGCCCCGTCGGGCGGCTTTTTTTGAAGCGTGATGGCCTGCCAATGGATCGACTTCGGCGCGCCGGCCGGGGGCCAGGCTTCTTCTTTTCAATGGCGTGCTTCCTTCCTGAGAGGGATCCCCCTTGGGCAGGGAGGGCGGCGCGGCGCGGGCCCCCGCCCTCCGGTCGCCGAGGCCGGTGCATTACCGGCCTGCCGTTGCCGCCGCCCGGGGAGGCCCCCAGATGGCTGTGCTGTGCCGAGAGGGGTGTCGGGCCTTTTTTGTTTCGGAGGCCGGGATTCTGGCGAGAAGGGCCCGGGTGTGTCTCTCCGGTCGAGGCCCATCCGTCCCCGGGCTGCGTAGGGGATCCCCCCCACCCGGTCCAGCGGGCGCAGCCGTTCACGCATGGCATCCCCGCTTTCCTGGAAGTCTCAGCATCAGACCACCTTCTGATGATGGCGCGCTGAAGCCAATTAAACGGCCTCGGGCGGGTGTGTGTGTGTGTGTGTGCCTTGACCCGCGCGGTCCCCCCCCCCCCCCCCCCCCCGCACCCCGCGGCGAGCGGCGCCTCCCACCCCCGGCGCCTCTTCCCCCCGGCCTTTGGGCGGGGCGATCGTGCATGCGCTTTCCCCGGTTATCGGATGAGCTTGGAGAAGGCCAGTCAGGTGCGCGAGGGCCGAGGGACGGGCTTTTAGGGAGCGGGCGGGCGGGGGGGGGGGGAGCACAGGATCCACGAGACCCGTCGCGTGGGGAACCCTCTTTCCTCCCTCCTGCGTGGCGGCGCGGCGGCCTGCTCTGCGGCCCGGCTGTGCCCAGCCAGTCTGGCCTCGCCTGGTGCTGGGCCCCGGGGCCCGGCGGCAGGTTGGCCACACCGGGGCCGGGATGTGTTCACCGCGCTGGGGCGCTCACCTCGCCGGGGGGACCCGCGGGTGCAGACGCCGAAGCGCTGTCGATGAAGGGAGAAAATACACGCCTTGTGACACCTCTTGGCAATATAATATTACCCGCCCTGTGTGGCCCTTCGCACCATCCGGGGCCGGGGATGCCCGGCACCCTGGGCCACCACCTCTCCGGGGCCCGCGGCACCCTGGTCCAAACAAAGCCCACCCCGCGCGCTGCTGTTTCCCTTGGCCGATCGGCGGCACAGCGCACGGG